AGGAAGGGAGGGAGGAAGGAAGGAAAGAAAGAAAGAAAGAAAGAAAGAAAGAAAGAAAGAAAGAAAGAAAGAAAGAAAGAAAGAAAGAAAGAAAGAAAGGAAGGAAGGAAGGAAGGAAAGAAAGAAAGAAGTGTGGTTGTTATGTCCTAATTTTAGGGAACATATGCTTGCTAACCAGTGATTGCTTTTAAAAAAATGTTCACAAACTATCTCTTTAATAAACTGTTCTAAAATATTGCTGGTTATTATATTGAGTTCATCAATTTGTAATGACTACTTTTTGAAACTTGAAACATTTGCCAAGTTTAATCCTGATACTTTTTTCATTTGTTTTGATTTTTTAAAGATTGTTGATGCCGTGGTTCTGTAAACACATACTTGAGTCTCATGATACGATTCTTCAGGTTTAGATATTTAAAATCCTTTGAAGCAACAAGTTACCCTGATACAATTGCCTTTTATGTCTTGGTTTCCTGAACCTTCCTTCCCCTTTAACCTTTGTTCTGCCTTTTCCAATTCTTTTTCTTCTTAAAGGAAAAAATGGAATATCAGTTTTATTTCTGCTCATTACCAATTTTATAAAACAACATTAATGGCGCCTAATTTAATCTAATATATAATACTTATACATTGGCTTTTGGTGCTTTAGATAAAACATTAAATACTTACATATTTTTGTTTATGATATGCCACAATTTGAATTTAACCCTGTAGCATTTCTAGACTTTACTCTGAAAAGTTAATTTATACATTTGGATTAATTTCTGATTCTTTTAATGTACTAGTGCTCTCACCACCAAACAAAAAGGAAAATTAATGTAATACTGAATATCACCTGGGTTAAAAACAGAAAATATCGCTTGTATAGATAGTAGTAGGTTCACACCTGGGATACCTGTGAAATTCTGAAGACAAAGCTTCCCTAAATCCACACCAGAGCTGAGAGAGGCCACCGAGAGGCCAGCTTTAAATGGAATTTATTAGTGAGAAGCTGTGCAGCCTGAAACCTGGAGGGGACCCAGTTCAAAGCCAGGCAGCTTAGGGTAGG